ACTGTGCTCTTCTCCCACTCCCACAGCTTCATCGCATAACATCTTGCTCATTTTCATGTCTGTTTTCTACCGATTCCCCAAGGTCTTCAGAGCCAAGGACTTGTCCTTCCTGTGAGGTGGTTATGGTCAAAGGCTGGAGAATCAGCAGATACTAGGGGGCCACCTAATGACTAAATGGCCTTTGGACTTGACTCAGCCTCACTGAGCCTCAGGTTCTCCATCTGTAAAATGGGAATAACACCCACCATGCAGGACTGTGGGAAGAATAAAGGAAATAGATGTATGAAGCAAGTGGTCGATAATCAACGGCTGTTGTTACTCATCTCTGCAGCCCCTGCACACAGCACAGGCCCCAGCATGTGCCAGCAAGTGCCTCGTTTATGTTCAACAAATTCGTCTTGAAAAACTGGAAGATCCATCTTTGCCCAGTGCTGGGTGCTTGGAACAAGTAGAAAGTCTGTGCAGGGAGCGCACAGGTTGTCTTGGGCCTACTGGCCACATGACCTGACCCACTTATCCTCTACACTGCCTACTTGGATGTGCTGGGTGAAGGAGACAACTGTGCTGTCTGATTTCCCTGTGGGCACGAGCATTGTGCTCACAGTTAACTTGCCCTTGCCTTGTTCCTCCTGAGCTTTGTCAATAACCCTGAGAGGTTGGTACTCTTATTCTCCCCATTTCACAGATGAAAACACTGGGGTTTAAAATACTGAAGGCCCTCCTGGAGGCCATGCAGTTATCGACTAGCAACATGGTCTCACTTCTGCTCTTCAGCACCACCTTCCCTTGGAGAACAGGGTCACCAGGACCCATGTGAACACCAGCATGACCGGCTTCAAGTAGCAGAAACTCCCGACCAGGTCTCCGTGTTCTGAGGGCCCAGGGCAGGCTGCTGTGGGTGCGCAGAGGACCACATGCTGGTTCCTGGGGGACAAAGGACACGACACCCTCTGCCCGCCCTCCCACTGCCCCAGGCTCTGGCCACCTTCCTGGGGAGGACAGCACGTGCTAGAAGAGGGAATTTCTTTCTTTCTTTTTTTTTTTTTTTTTAAAGATTTTATTTATTTATTTGACAGAGAGAGACACAGCGAGAGAGGGAACACAAGCAGGGAGAGTGGGAGAGGGAGAAGCAGGCTTTCCGCCGAGCAGGGAGCCTGATACAGGGCTCGATCTCAGGACCCCGGGATCATGACCTGAGCCGAAGGCAGACGCTTAACGACTGAGCCACCCAGGCGCCCCTAGAAGAGGGAATTTCTGATGAGACCCGTTTCATCAGAAGGAGAGTGTTTCTTACTTGGGTGTTTTGCAAACAAGGAGTGCACAGAAATTCCAACCTATGAAACTTTATAGGTTAATGCCTTCAAAATTCCTCTAGCTTTCAAAAGTTCTATTCTTGCATAGATGGTTGACTTTAGAGAAATTTTATAATCACTCAGTTCTTTGTTTCTTCTTCCATGTGTCACCCTCTCCTACTCTCCTCTCTCCTTCTTTCTTTCCATTTCTTACCTTTTTTTCTCTTGTATTCCTGTTCTCCCCCTTCCTCCTCTGTCTCTGTCTCTGTCTCTGTCTCTCTCTCTCTTTCTTCCCCTGCCCCTCTCCTGCATGGTGATTGAGTAAGGAAGGAGGCAAGTGTGAAATTCATTTTCCTGTATCAGAGCTGAGGCCTCAAACCAGTAGAGAAAATGTTTGGGACAAAGAAACCTACAAGGACTTAGGGCTTATCAAAGGCAGTGGATTTCCTGTTTATACAGCTCTCCTTCCCCAGGGAGGCCCGGCAGAGCCCAGCCAGCTGTGGCCTGGGCAAGCCGCCTAGCTCCAAAGCCCAGGATCCCACCAGTTGGTGTCAAGCCCGGCTTCTTCTCCTTGGTCCCAGGCCTGCTGGAATCCCCAGGGCCCGTGTCTCCCCCATGCTCCCCTCACCTGAATGTCTGCGTCTGAGCATGCACTGCTTTCAGACCCCAGTCTCCCTCATCAGGGGCACCCGGGCCTGCACTCGACAAGAGGATGTGTGGGCATTTCTGCTTCCATGAGTCCTGTCGTGCAGCAGGTCCACAGGGCAGCATGGCGGCCTGGCCTTCTCCTGGCTCCTCATCCTGGAGCTACAACCCTGTGTCTCTACACTGGGTGACCATTCATCCATCCAGGCCTCACACATTCACTACATACCTACTATGTGCTCTGCACTGGTGTTCTAGGGCCCTGGTGACACGGATGGAAAACGATAAGGCTCTGTCCTTATACACTTATGTCCACAGACAGACAATGAATAAAAAACCCAAAATTATCAAGGAAATGCTTTTGCACCCTAATTGCCTAAATGGGGTGGGGCGAGGGGCTGATATGGAGAGGGTGGTCTGCCTGGTGTGATCTGGGGAGGCCTCTCTGAGGACGTTTCTGTAAGTTGAGCGTGAAGAGGGGGCAGCTGTGGGAAGATGAGGGGAGAGTGCTCCAGGCAAAGGAAACAGTCAGTGCAAATGTCCTGAGGAGGGACCAAGCTTGGCTTGGCCAAGGGACACAGAAGCAGCTGGGGAGGCTGGGTGGCAGGAAATGGGGAGAGGGGTGGTTTGGGTGAACACTGCAAGCTAACCAGAGGCAGAGATCCTTGGGCCTGTGGGCTCTGGGGAGGTGTTTGGATTTTATTCTAAAGGCGCGCTCACACACACACACACACACACACACACACACACTGGAGAATTTCACTTGGGGAGAAGGGTTTGAAAGAATTTATGTTTTAAAGATCAAACTAGCTGGCAGGAGCTGTTGAACACCCAACAGAGGTGGGTAGAAGGTGCAGTGCCATAGGGAACCCTGTTGTCCATTACGCATCATGTAGCTAGAGCCAGGGTGCTATGGTGGAGACCGTGGAACGGAGCCCTGAGCTACCCAGATGTTGCAAATGTGATCTTCTTGATTTCCCTGTGGACTTGGGCTGCACATGAGCAGAAGGGAGTGGACAGATGTGGGAGGCAGGCAAAGTCTGTGGCGCTCTAGCTGTCTCTCGGGTGTCGTCCTGAAAGCCTCCCTGGCAAGCGTTCGCTCCTGGCCCATCTAGAATGGACGATGCGTGTCTTTGGTCTTTCAGGCCTACATTCCTACCCTCACATGGGCTGGTGCCCTTACTGTGGGCGTCCAACTCACTGTGCCGACTCACAAAGGCTTTGGTAGAGCCTCCAATGGTGGGTAGAGTGGTTAGGTGGACAGCAAGGACAAGGTACTGTTATGGGGGAATTGTCCATGTAGGGGCCCAATGGGGGGACTCAGCCTGAATCTCATTCAGGAAAAGACTCGTCCTGAATAGCAAACCGTTGAAAGGGTCCCACTGCCACCCTGAGCCAGTCACAGAGCCCTCAGGTGACCTACAGCAAGATGCTTGTCCCAAATGGACCCCCAGGCTGGCAACAGGGGGGTGCCCTGGGGGACCCAATAAGGGATCTTTCTTCCTCAGACATTAAGTGGTAATGTCTCTGTGCACGGGGTGAACTTTGATTGCAGATGCAGAGACTGCAGATTTTCTGTGAACAAACAAGGACCTGGATAGGAGGCCTTCGCTCCCCCAAGGCAGAGCAGGTTGGGCCTCAGGCAGTCTGGGCCACACAGAAGAGCATGGACAGAATAAAGCCTGAAGACCACGAGAAGACCCAGGACACAAATTCTTCCTTGCCACACTCACCCTGGGAAAAAGAAACTAGAAGTAGGCATACCATAACCCCCTTTACCGTGCTCATTAATTGCTCTCTATATAGAGTAGCATTTAATTTTTTTTTAAAGATTTTATTTATTTATCTGAGAGAGAGAATGGGAGACAGAGAGCATGAGAGGGGGAGGATCAGAGGGAGAAGCAGACTCCCCGCTGAGCAGGGAGCCCGATGTGGGACTCGATCCCGGGACTCCAGGATCATGACCTGAGCCGAAGGCAGTCGCTTAACCAACTGAGCCACCCAGGCACCCCTAGAGTGGCATTTATAATTACAATGAAAATCATCTCCGTGTTTTGAGCACTTCTTAGGTGCTTAATATGCTAAACATTTTAGATACATTATTTCATTTATTTCTCTCCATAGGCAGTACTCTGTCAATGACAAGGTTGGGGCACAGAGAGTTTAGGTGGCTTGTCTGAGGTCACACAGGCTAAGCCCGGCTGGACCCCAGGTCCTTCCAGGTCTAACTATGGAAGTAACGCAGACTAGAGTTAGAACGCCTCACTCCAGAGTGGGAATTGAGTCGTGCTCAGCCAATCCTTTTGGTGCCATCCTAACTACTGAGTTAGAATCCACCCCTGGGTATTTTTATGCACAGATGCAGGGGCTGGGTCAGCCCTGTGACCCCGTTGGGTTTGAAACTGGGATGAGCCAGGTCAGGAAGCAGCCCCCTGACCATGCAGCGCCTGCATGCTGCCTTTCCTTGTTCTTTATCTTTGCTGTTGACCTCTACTAAACAGTAACATGGGCTTGTTATATGAAATGCAGACATCATGGGAAAATAGAATCTGAAAACGGGAAAGTGAGTGTAGCGATCAAGGTCCCAGCAGAAAAGAGATGATGCACTCACGCGAGGGTCATTTCAGAAGAGTTTAACAAGGAGACTCCTTACAAAGGTGCAGGCAGGACACAGGGTCCGCCACCCCCTGAGCAGGGAGAGGGAGCCGTGACTAGATGCAAGTTCAGGGGGTACCCCTGGACAGAGCTGCAACCTTCCAACTGCGGAAACCAGGACTGACCTGGTCTGAAGGTTCCAGGGAATGAACATCCTGACCCCACCTCTCCCGACATCTTCACCTCCTGCTGGTGATGCAGATAGCAGTGCTGGCCCAGCGTTGGACCCCAGGGCAGACATCAGGCCCCAGAGAGGGGATTGGGTCTGGAGGGTAACAGAAGGTACTCCACACAGTCCCCCAGAATCCCATCCCAAAAGAGCACCACTCTTTCGGTGGCAATGTCTCTACACATGGTCTCAGGGACTAAGTCTCCAAGACATGTACTAACCCCTGATTGTTCCTCCAGACTGAAGCCCCTGCAGCTGGCTCTGCCCTCAGTTCTGTGAGGAATTGAGTGGAATGAAGCATGCTGGAGACACTCAGGGCGTCCCATGAATTGGATGAGAGCAACGGAGACATGGCTGAGGACTAAGAGGAGGCAGCAACACGGAGGCTGGGGCCACAGCCTGGAAGTGGCAAACGGGCAAAATGCACTGGTTCCCGCACTCTGGGGCCCCTGGAGGCCCCCCACCCCTGCCAGCTCGCTTCTCACTCTCTGCACACTCCCTCCCTCCCCCTGAGATGCTCTGTGCAGCCAGGTGAGGCGGTGGGCAAGGGCAGGTGTGATCGATCAGGTGTGGAGGTCGAGGGCTATGGGAAGCTCTGAGAGAGTCTGAGTTTGAGTTGGTTTTTTAACAATCTCTCTGGCTTTGCTGATGGGCTGGATGGAGGTGAGGGTGGGTGGGTGGGGCTGCGGCTGAGGAATCACAGGTGGCTCTGGGTTTTGGGGTGACACCATGTAGCCTACAGAGGTAGAAAAACTGGGAGGGGAATTACTTGACCAGGGTAAGGTGGATGTGAAAATGCGGACTTCAGTTTTGTCTATGCAAAGTTTGAGATGCCTTTGATGTGCAAGCAGGTGATTTAATCAATGAGTTTGCAGCTTCGCTGAGAGATTAGGGTGGAAGATATGCATGTAGGATTCTCAGAATCTTGACATCAGCATTTGGACCTCAGCACTGCCCAGCCCTGAGGATCTTAGTGACTGGGGATTGGGTAGATTCGCCTTCTTCCTCATTGAGTAGAATTATTCCCTATCTATTATCTATCATGTATCTATCATCTATCTATTATCTATCTATCTATCTATCTATCATCTATCTATCTATCTATCTATCTATCATCTATCTATCTATCTATCATCTATCTATCTATCTATCTATCTATCTCTCTATCTATCTATCTCTCTATCTATCTATCATCATCTATCATCTATCTATCTATCTATCTATCTATCTATCTATCTATCTATCTATCTCTCTATCTATCATCTATCTATCTTCTATCTATCTCATTTTTGAAGTCCAAGGCAGGTGGGAAGGGAAGCCTCAGAAGGGAGGACACACCAACACACCACATGGGTCCAGGATGCCTAGTTTCAGGGCATGTGGGGTCAGTGCTCACTGCCTAGCCCCAGGAAGGGCAGTCTGACAGGGCCACTCACCAGGGCCTCTCAGGCCAGCCTCGAGAAACGTACAGGGCCAGCCAGCCTTACCTAGCCCCACAAAGCCTTTTATTCCACCAGGTGAGAAAGAAAGTGCTTCACGGAGCCAGTGGATCCCGAATCAAGAGGGCTTTCCTTTGGTAATAGAGCCCCTACCTCAGATTCTGGCCACAAAGACTTTTGGTGGCCACTGGAGCTCAGGGACATGGAGGGGCTTTTTAAGGGTTTTACTAGTGCTAGTGACAGAAATGGGATCAAATTTCACATGCCCTCTGGTGCCCAAGTTCATATGACCTGTCCTCCCCTTTGCACCCATCCTGTTTGGTTTTGTAGAGGGCTAGTTAGAAGTGAAGTGAAGGCATCACAGGGACTTCCCTTCTTGGGGATAAAAACAGAGTTCAAGGAAAAACAGATGAACATAGGGGAAGGGAAGGAAAAATAAAATAAGATAAAAACAGAGAGGGAGGCAAACCATAAGTGATTCTTCAATATAGAGAACAAACTGAGGGCTGCTGGAGGGGAGGAGGGTGGGGGGATGGGGTAACTGGCTGATGGGCGTTAAGGAGGGCACTTGTTGGGTGAGCACTGGGTGTTTATGTAAATGATGAATCATTAAATTCTACTCCTGAAACCAACACTACACTATATGTTAACTAACTTGAACTTAAAACAAAACAAAACAAACAGGTGAGGTACGGGAGTGTGAGCAGGCTGAGCTCTGGAAACATTGGAGCATGCAGACAGGGGCTGGCCTGGGCCAGGAGCCAGGGCAGGGTACTGCACCCCATCCAAAGAGGTACTGGGGAGATACTTGGATCAGAAATCAAGATGGTAACGCCCCTGGTCTTCATATCACCTGAATGATGCAGCCTTCACTCTCAGGTGTGCTGAGACCAAAGAAGAGAAGATACAGCACAAAAAACTCAGCTCCATTTAAGGGAGAATTTCACAGTAATCAAATCTGGAAGAAATGTCCTAGACTCCCCTAGGAGACAGGGGAGCTCCCTGTGCCGGAGGGGAGGGGTGCTTGCAGAGGGAGAGACCAAGAGGTAGGATTAACACTCCAGAGGATGAGTGTGTCTTTCAATCTTGAAATCTCACAGTTCTCTTGCCCTACTGCTCCCGGGACAGGACACGGTCACTGCCCACACACCATCCAATACTTTTAACTTTTTAGGCTGAAGGCCCCAAGCTCCAGAGCACAGGCTCTCTCTCACACTGTGATCCTGGACCTGCAGCATCCTGTCACCGGAGACCTGTTAGAGATGCACCTGCTTAGCCTCCACCCAGGCCTGTGGAATCTGGAGCTCTGGGGGTACAGCCAGAAATCTGTGTCTTCAGAAGTTCTGGGGCAATTCTTTTAATTCCTTAAATTTGAGAACCATGAGTCCAGAGCAGTGATTTCCCAGCATGATATTACCCACAGAACAAAAAAGGTTGCTGCCTGCATCCCACCCCCAAGACTGATTTCTCTGGTCACAGCCTGGGAATCCCGGTCCTGCCATGCTGCTCGGGCTGAGAGCCCCTGGCCCAGGCCTTCCCCCGGGGGGTGCTCTGCACCTCTCCACTTACTTTTCACGCCTGCTTTTCTCTGTTTCTTTTACTAAATCCCCTTCTTGAATTTGCCTTCTCTTTTCTTTCATATACTCACTGAAAATGTGCTAAGGCAATAATCTGCTTTCCAAACATGTATGGGGAAGAAAGTGCCAAACAAGATAGATATTTGTGAGCCAGTCCTTTGGGGGTCTTGCACAAGCATGCTAAAAATAGTACATTCCAGTTTTCCTAATGCTGCAATCTATAGTTCTGGGGAGTCACAGTGTTCTGTCTTAAGCTTGCTAAACTAAATTGTTTTCTTTTTAAATAAAATGAATACTACTCTTTATGTTTAATATATTAACACATATTGCAAATGCAACCACATGAAAGTGTTTAGAGAAATATGAGCTTGCCACATTACTCAAATGATGATAATTCCACCAATGAAAAATCCTCAGGGCATACGGGCCATACTAACAAACAAAAACAGGGGCTGCTCTGTAACTCGTTAGCAGGTGACACCTTTGCTGCATGCTGCTTGGGATAGTGAGTTAGGGTCCCACCAGAGAGAAGGTAAGCAAACTTAGACCTGGCTGCGTGATAGGAGAGGACTTCCAGAGAGGCGACACTGCGGGATGACCAGCGGCCCTCAAAGGGTGTCCTAGCGGGGAGGGCTCGGTGCGGTGTGGAAGGAAGTGTCTGCCTCCTAGGTGATGCAGAGGCCGGTGGGGTGTGAAGAAAACCGGGTGGGGCAGGAGTGGTTATCAGGGAGGCTTCCCGGGGGAGGGGAGGGTCCAGCTGAAGGATAAGGGCCATGGTGGGGTGGAAGGTCTGGGAGAAGGCCTTGGACAAAGGAAAGGTGCACTTGAGGACCCTGGAGGAGGCAGGAGGGAGCCCGTGTGATTGAGGATGGAGAAGGGAAATGGGGGTAGAGAGGGATGCCTAGGGAAGTTCTTGGAGGGTATCAAATAAAGGAGTGGTGAGATCCATGCGGAACATTTTTATTTGGTGCCTACAAAAAGCTTGCTTTTTCCTGGGCACAGTGGGGGAATGCCAAAGCAAGGAGAGGCTGATGATTTTGTTCCAGAATCTAACAGGTTGCTCCCGTGGAGGCGCTTTTTTCAGTCTTCTGTGAGGAAGGCAGTCGATTGACTCCAAAATCCTAAGTAGTTGAAGGCCATTATAAAGGCCCTTTTCACATTGTTTAAAATTAAATGTTTGATATTATTTTATAAATTCTGTTTTCCATTCATTTCCTTTGTTTTTTTCTTCCAGACTCTCATCAAAGCTCTGCATATCTTTTCTCATAGATGACCTGCACTGGCCACGTCCAGAGAGTCAGTTAGACTCTGGGTTTCAATTTCTGGGTTCTGGAAAATGCCAGGATCTACGAACCTGACCTTCATTACACCAAGCATGGGGGGACATACCCAAAGAGTCACAAATCGAGGCTGGAGCTGCTCCCAAAGGCTGGCAGCAGCCCCCTTGGCCAATCGAGTGTTTGGGTTTGGCTAAGTCTCTAAGATGAGATTTCTTATAAATGTCTTTAGTTCCTGCCACAATTCCAAGCTCACACCTGCCGAAGATGCCTTTTTCTGTCTTGTTTTGTTTCACTTTGGGGCCGAAGGGTGTGAACATGTGAACAAAAACCTCGGGGGGAAGGAGCATTTTAGTGCTGGGAACCTCACAAATTTGTTCCACTTTGATCTGATTTCTGTAAAACAGCCCCTCGTGTGGGGGTGGGGGGAGAAGACAAAATGGAAATCATTTCCAACCTGCTTTGGACATTTCTGTAACATCATTCAAGACAACCTCCGGGTGCGGACCAGGCCAAGGAGTGGGCGTGTGGGGACCCTAGCAGAGGGCGCCGTCCGTCTTATTTTACTTGGAAACCTCATTTATTTATTAATGTATTTGTGGGTAGGAGGCCATCTGGCTGCTCTGAGAGGGGCCCCGTGTTTGCTGCACTGACCCCGCAGGCGCTGGGGGCCCCCTGGCAGGACAGCTGGTGGCATGAATTTGCTGAAGCTGGACCGATTGGGAAGCAAGGATGATGGGGAGGCTGAACTTCCAAGGACAAATATGTTCAAGAGTGTGGAGGTCTATGGTTTGTGAGCCATCAGCAAAATTAAGAAATAGTGAAATCCAGACATAAGATTTTCAGTTCACAGGTAAAGGGGCAAAAATGATTTTCAAACCACATCCTGGGCAGCAGACTTATTTTTTTTTTTTTAAGTGACTCTTAAGTTTTTTTTTTTTAATTTTATTTTATTATGTTATGTGAGTCACCATACATTACATCATTAGTTTTTGATGTAGTGTTCAATGGTTCATTGTTTGCATATGACACCCAGTGCTCCACTCAGTACATGCCCTCTTTAATGCCCATCACCAGGCTAACCCATCCCCCCACCCCCTCCCCTCTAGAACTCTCAGTTTGTTTCTCAGTGTCCATAGTCTCTCATGGTTCGTCTCCCCCTCTGATTTCTCCCCCTTCCCTGTACTCAGGCAGCCGCCCTATCTCCAGCACCTCCCCCGGCCCCCCCCACCCGCCCCCCTCCCCGGGGCAGCCCAGAGCTGGCCCTTCTCCCTGTGCAGTGAGCTACAGAGGAGGAACTGCATGTGAGGAGCTCCAGGCTCGGGGAGGCTCGGATCCCTCCCCAGGTCTCCCGTGTGGTCTGTGATGGGGTGGGCACGGACTGCAGGTCCCGTGCTCCTTCTCCTGGGCTGGCCTCCCTGCCTCGTGCCTGGCCTCCAGAGAGGATGAAGAGCCCAAGGCCAGGCTGGGGATTCGGATGCCCCAGAGAGCAGCTCCAGGTTTGGGTGAAGAGTAGAAGGCCAGGGGAGGAAGTGGGACGTGGACCCAAGGCTTGTCTAGGCTTTGCTAGAAGGAGAGGAGAAGACCGAGGAGGAAGAGGGCTGGGAGGAGCAGGACCTTTTGCCATTCTGGCACAAGCCTAGCAGATTCCACACACTTTTTCATTATTTGATGAGGTGGCCAGAGGATTTATCATTTGAAATAGGACATTCTGAGAGAGGAAGGGCACTGTTAGTCATTTTGCTGGGACAACAGGCAGCTACTGGGACTGTCTAGGCACATCAGAATTCTTTAAGGCCTTGGAAAAGGCATCTGAACAGCATCACTGATACCCCTGACTGCCCAAAGAATGACTCCCTCAGCTTCCTCACTTTGAGAATTTTCGGGTTCAAGTCCTCCCTTTCTGGGACCCCAGGTGCCAGGCCCTTGCTCCTTGTGGCCCCGGTGCTGACCCAGTGCACAGGTCCACAATGACCAGGTTTGGGGAGGGCAGCAGGGGCCTCGTGAGCCTGCCACACTGGAGTGGGCTCTCTCACAAGGCCACTTGAGAACACAGGACTTGGCAGCTATAAGGGAGAGCGCCTTGTGGGTGAGATCTTGTTTTGTTATTCTAGAAAAGCAGAGTGAGCACCGTGCCTTTCCTGGGATGGCTCATACCCAGCCATTTCCAGAGAGTGCACAGAGTGAGCCTTGGGGTCAGAGACACCTGCGCTTGGCTTCCAGAGCTGCAGCCCAGCACATGCGCCTAGGCTTCGGGGGCTCCCCTGCACCTTTCTGAGCCTCCCTGTCCTCATCTGTGCTGGGATCAGCGGCACCTTTACACTGCGTATCAGTCAGGAGCTTTCCCTGGGAAGGACTACCTTCAGTACCAATGCAGAAGCACAGAGCCGGAGGCTCAATACGGGGTAGCGATTATGGCCGTGCTGTCTTGGTTCTTTAATATCACCATTTACTTGTAAAGCCTACAGCTGTTTAGGAGAGAAAAAAAAGCCATTAGATGTCTACCGTGGTGGTAAAATGTAGGCTGATTTTAGAAACATTTGTGTTTTTTAAAAACTCTTATTAAATCAAAGAAATCTGGTGTCCTCTTCTAACTTCTTTCCTTCTACTCAGGGAGGCAAGCCATGTTCATCATCGGGTTTTATGTGCATAAGAGCAGTACATGTTATGAGGATAGTCCACCATAAAAAATTGGATTTGACATTATAAAACACACACACGTGCACACACACACGTGTGCAAATTGTTCTAGTAGGTGTGACATATGCCAACGTTTTCCATACCATTCTCTTCTTTCTTTATTTTTTGGTGCTATTTCACTTTTTAAAAAATTGCTGCTTCTGGGCGCCTGGGTGGCTCAGTTGGTTAAGCGACTGCCTTCGGCTCAGGTCATGATCCCGGAGTCCCGGGATCGAGTCCCGCATCGGGCTCCCTGCTCGGCGGGGGGTCTGCTTCTCCCTCTGACCCTCCCCCCTCTCGTGTGCTCTCTCTCTCATTCTCTCTCTCTCAAATAAATAAATAAAATCTTAAAAAAAAAAAAAGAAAAAAAAATTGCTGCTTCTGACAGTCTATACTGATTTCGTAGCCTGAGCTTGCTGAGCATTTCCTCTAGATGGACTCTTAAGCCCCGGACATACACTTGAACCATACAGGGCAGACCCAGACCTGAGCGCAGCAGCTCCCCGCCCACCACCTCTGCCTGGGGAGCTTTGCAAACTGCAAGAAGGGGTTGCCAGGTCCACTGGAGCCTAACAGCCCAGGATCAGTTGGGCCTCCCACGTCCCAGCCTTGAGATGTGGAGACTCCACAGCTGCTTTGGACTTCTGTCTCTGTGTCCATCACAAGGGAGAGGGCTGTTATCTTGTGGGACTGTGGGGAACACTGAAGAAGGAGTCATCTGAAAAACATCTCTGTGGGCTGGCAGGCAGAGGCTGCTCCCGAAATGTCAGCTGGATGGAAAGCATCTGACCAAGGTGTGTGTTTGTCCTCCCTGGGAACTCTGTCCTGCCTACTTAAGGAGAAGCACCGTGAATGCATTAGCCTTCAGTTCCCCTTGGCTGCTTGAGCACGGGGGCAGGCCCCCACACAGGAAGAACTGGAAAGAGCTGGTCCCTGGCAGGCCTCATTCCCAGGTGCCAAGGTTTGGACATGGTGCTCGAGGGTTCCCACAGTGTCCAGAAGGAGAGGCGCCTCCCCCGGAGCTCAGGAATGCCCCCAAATGATTGTTTCCTCACGGCCTACAAGCCCATGTGACCTGGGCTGATGTTCAGGGAAATGCCTGGAAGAGGCCAGGACAAGGTGAGCCTGTGGCTGCATCTGGGGCCTTCTATGCTGACCAAGACCGGTCGCTCTTCCTCCTGAGCAACTTCCCCAGCTGGGTTGCAGAGCCGGGCTGCTGCCTGGGAGAGTGGAACACTGCCCTGCTGCCACCAGCCTTTCCTGAGTCCTCAGCTCTTCCCCTGACCTCCTTCCCAGGGGGCTGGCCTGCCATCCACCGCCCCAAGTCAGGCCTGGGATGGAGCAGTAGCAGCAGAGGCCCCGTCCCCGGACCCTGGGCCAGTTGTAGTTGCCCTCCTCCTGGGCCCTGGCTGCAAAGCCCAGGCCTAATGGACCCCAGGCCAGCACTGAAACCCCTACGATCTGCACAGGAAGTGTGTGCAGGTTCCCACAGGAGCAAGGAGCACTCAGAAGGAGGTGCCCAGGGGGACAGGGATGAGTCTTCAATCTCGGTCACAGGAACTGAACCACTATGGCTTTCCGTGCTCTGGGGACTCCAGGGGGAAGCCTCAGGCACGGGGGATGCTAGATATGAGGCAAGGTGTGTGTGTGTGTGACCAGCCGATATGTGCACAGTGGCGTGAGGTGAATTTGGTGCTAAATGATGACTTCACAGTGTGCCCTTGAGTGTGGGAATGAACACGTGACCTTGTGAGGTGAGTCCTGCTATCTTCATCTCAGAGATGTGTGAAGAAAGACTCCAATGTGTTAACCTCCTGTTGATTTATCAGGCAGTCATTCCAAAAATACTTCTAGGTGCTGGCCACAAAGTGAGCAAAACAGACCAAGCCCCTCTCTTCCCGTGTGGTTTGAACCTTCTCATGTGAAGCGGGCAGCGCATGGGTGGCTGGCAGAGGGGGCTGTGCCTTGGGGGAGGCCGAGCAGGATAAGGGGGCCGCGCATCGGGGAAGGGCCGCAGGCTGGGGGAGTCTGCCAAGGCTCTCCTGACAAGGTGGTGGCCCACAGAGACTGAATGAAGGGAGGGGGTGAGCCATGTGCTATCTGGGCTGAGGCTACCCAGCACAAAAGTCCCCGGCCAGGGGCAGTCCTGGCCTGATCAAGGGCGAGGGAGCCTCTGTGGCAGGAGCAGAGAGAGTGGTGAGGTCAGGGAGATGGCAGGAGCCAGTTGGTGTAAACCTCCACTGGTTAAAAACTGGAGGGTGTGAATAGGGGTGGCATGACCAGGCGGCTCGGCAGGCCACTGCGGGGGCGACGGTGGGGGGCGGGAGCTGGACCAAGATGGCAGCCGTGAGAAGTGATTGGATTCTGGGTATATTTTGAAGGTTAACTAATTGGGTTTGTTAATGATTTAGTTCAGGGTTGTAAGGGAATAAAATAAATCCAAGATGGCTATGTGGTTTTGGCCTGAGCACCTGGAAGGAATGGAGTTGTTATTTACAGAAATGGGGATGAGCAGGTTGAGGGACGTGGAAAAGAGGAGTTTCCTTTTGCAAATGATCACTTTCAGAGGAGGAGGGGGTGTCCAAGCCCAGAGCCCAGGAGAGAGATCCGTCTGGGTTCCTCAGCCTTTGCATGGTGTTCAAGGCCAGGAGAGTGAATGAGGTCACCTGGTATGAATACAGAGCATCCGAGGACTGACCTAAGGGTGTCCTTGTGTTTGGGTGTCGGGAGGATGAGGAGGACACAGAAAAAAAATGGGAAGGTATGAAGCTGAAGAAGCAGTCAGGAATGGTCTCCTGAGAGCCAACGAGACCGTGTATTTCAAGGAGGGTGACCAGTGCTGTCAAGTTTGCCGGGAGCCCGAGGAAGCTGAGAATTGATACCTGACCATTGCACTTCCCGACGGCTCAGTGACAACCTTAACAACGAGCAGGTCTAGTGGAGTGAGTGGTAGGGTCAAAATTCTAGTTGGGGGTGGGTTTTTCAAGAAAGAGAAGAGAGAGAGGAGGAGAGAAAGTGGACACGGGAAATATAGACCACTCTTGTGAAGACTTGCGTGTGACGAGAAGCAGAGGAGGGCGGACGTGGTAGGAGACAGAGGGCTGAAGAATCCCATGTCGGGCTTGGTTCTATTTTCACTTCATTTGGTTTCCTATGGGAGATATTAGAGCATGTTGGTGTGTTGATGTAGAGTCAAAGATTGCTGGTGCAG